ATACTCTGTAGTGATATATTGTGTTACGTATCTTCTTGTACATATTTCTTGTTAAAATGTATTTCTAGTATCCATTCCTAATGAGGAAATCCTAGCTTAGTGTCGGTGAGTGATTCCGCAAAAGTTACGATCAAAAATATGTATGTTCCATAAAATCGCTATGATCATCAATAATACCGATTGTGTCGTTTCAAATTATGTCTATTTGATTTGCGTACGTGAAAATGTCTTGGCTATGAGTAATAGTTGTTAATGTCCAATGGAATAGAAGAATATATTATTCTCTTCACGTCTTAAAGCGGTAATCACTTTGGTAGGTACATGTGGCTGGTTCCACAATTTTGACAAAAAAAAAGTATTGCTTAGATAGGTGGACGAGCTCACAGCCCACCTGGTGTTAAGTGGTTACTGCAGCCCATAGACATCTACAACGTAAATGCGCCACCCACCTTCAGGTATAAGTTCTAAGGTCTCAGTATATTTAAGGCTATATCTGGCACGAAGCTGCCGTAGTTATAGCTTTTGTTTCGTGGACATTTAGTCTCTAGATCAGTTTACGACTTTTGATTGACGTCACCTCGCCGGCTTGTTTGCCAAAATCTAAAACTCATAATCATTTGAGAAGCCTTCAGTTCAATTTCATATTGAGAATGTCCGCGCCATGGATATTAATCCACAAGTCTTAATGAATCTCAAGATGTTCTTCTCTTGTGAAAAGCCTACGTTTTTCCGCTCAGCTTTTCTGACAATAGACAGGTTTATGAAAAAAAAGATAAGAATATTTTTTAGTGTTACGTTTTCATAAAAACCACGAGAGATTTTCGATATTACAATTCAAATTTAAGAAAAATTATGAAATAGCTTCTTGCACTCGTATAATACACATATATTCACATTTATACGTTTGTACTGTTATTTATGTTGCGTTAGGGTGTGATTATTTATCTATAGTATATTTTGCCAGATAGTTCTTTTTTTTTGACTTTTTGGCGGGAACGCCAGGAGTGAAGTTGTGTGATTTGTTTTATTTTGTCTATTTAGTGTTTCTTCGGGTTTAAATGTGTAATAACGGTGGTTTATTAACTGTTTAATATCTGTGAAAGTGCACAAATGTGGGAAAATAAAACAAAGCCGCTGGACGTAACTTCTCGGGATCCTCCAAAAAGTCCACTCAAAAAATCTTAGTAAATGACCACCATTTTACTGAGATTATATTTCATCTCATTTCATTTCATTTAATTTCATCCCAGTTGATTAATGTCTCAAATTAATCATCTTCATATCATTTTTCATAAAAATATGAAAATAAATTAAAATAAGACATGACTTAAAGGTCTCAGTTACCAGGTCATAAAATCCCTTAAAAAAATAGTTCTTTTTTCTTTTCGTATTGTTTCCGTAGTTTAAAGTGATTCCACAAAACTGAAATAGCTTATAGAGTATCAGTCAGTTTTAGCAAGGTTTTGTCTCATTTTTAGACCAGATTTTTTTAATGATACCGAGTCCCACTGAGAATCTAACCCGCGTGGCACTGTAGCCATAGCCAATAACAACAGCACTAAAATGAGCTGTAGAACTTTTAAAGTGGTCTCCACAAAAAACTCTTTTGGATTATCGTTCCGATAGATTATATCGATATTTCCGGCACTTGCTCAGGAATAGTGTTCTAAACGACCTAAGGTAACAATGAAAGAATTCAAAGTTGTAATATAAACAAGAGCGTGTTCTTAAAATATTTGGCGTTTCATTGAAATAATACATAGCACAAACATACCAAGAGACGGTTAATTCAAGCGATTACAATTCACTCGTAATATTAAGTTATGAAACATCTGAAGTAATTTCGTAATTATCATCGTAAAAGTTTTACCAGACATGTAAGTATGATGTTTGAGGAATATTTCTTCCTTTATTAATTTACGGAGGCGGTCAGGCCGAGATCCTTAGTTGATCAAGGCCTGGTATTGACATCGGAAACGGCGACTGCCCGCGCTCATTACGCACGAACCTTTTATTAGTTAATATTACCAACACATTCGACCGAAGAGGATCAAATAAAATAGTTATTACCTAAATATTGAAAAGAAAATATATGAATAAGCCCAAGCAATACGAATGAATGCGAGGAAAAGCGTGATCAAACCCGAAGAGGGATTAAAACGGACATTAGCTTCTTAATGCCTCAGCTTATTACTCGGATTCATTGTAACACTTGAATAGCCATGCGTGGTTTTTAAGTAAAGCTGAAGAAAACAATATTTTGATAGGCATTGACTTCGTGGTTGTTCAGGGATGGTAATTTTATAGTTTGCAGATTTAGCCACACGTGACGTAACGCTAATGATTCTAAATAATAATAATACCAAAAGTGAAAGGCTATTTTATTTAAGCGAGATTTCACTTAATACTTTTATTTTATTTTTTTATTTCTTATTTCTTAGATGGATGGATGAGCTCACAGCCCACCTGATTTTAAGTGGTTACCGGAGCCCATTGACATCTACAACGTAAAATGCGTCACCCACCTTGAGATATAAGTTCTAAGGTCTCAGTATAGTTAAAACGGCTGCACCACCCTTCAAACCGAAACGCATTATTGCTTCACAGCAGAAATAGGCAGGGTACCTAACCGTGCGGACTCGCAAGAGGTCCTGCCACTTGTAATTACTCAAATTATAATTTTGCAGGTTTGATTTTTGTTACACGATGTTATACCTTCACCGTGAAAGTCACATTTGACAGAAAGTGAACATTTGACCAGTACGTATTTCATTAGAAAAATTGGTACCCGCCTTCGTGATTGCATTGCATGCACCATTGCATCGCTAGATACGAATGCACCGGAGGCCTTACCCGTCCACGATGACTATGCGACATTTAATTTTGTAATTATAGGTGCGTTTTATTTGGTATTACCATCAACAGCTCAATGTTTTTAATTGAACTTCAATTTAGTTTACTTCATTCAAATAGCTGACGAACGGATTTTTTGTTAGTTATGATATTTTTTTCAAATTTTACACTTGAAATGACACCCTTGTAAAGTTGCAAAAATGTCGCTTAAGCCATATAACTTTTCACCCTACGATATACAAGTTGACATAAATAATAAGAGAGTGATTGAAAATCTTTAATAGGGGGAATAAAAACTTGACAGCTGATTGGCTGGGTGGGAGCTACTTGAAAGTTAAAAAACCATTTAGGGGCTTACTAGACGCTTGCCTTCTATCGAGGTTCGAGCGGCAATAGCTATCAATCTAGACAAAATAAATCAAATACGGTTGTCTAGGCCCAAACGAGGATTTCCTTTACTTGGGAACCAGAGGCTGTAATTTATTTATGTAAGCTTACCTACATATATAAGTAAAATATATACATAGACATGATCAATCACGGAAATAGTTCTCGGTATGAAATCTTCGGGTGTACTTACAACACTTTAACAGATAATCAAATCGAAATCCACACACATCAGTCGGATGGAAACGGATTATTAACGGAAACTATTACTGGTGGTAGGACCTCTTGTGAGTCCGCACGGGTAGGTACCACCACCCCGCCTATTTCCGCCGTGAAGCAGTAATGCGTTTCGGTTCGAAGGGTGGGGTAGCCGTCGTAACTATACTGAGACCTTAGAACTTATATCTCGAGGTGGGTAGCGCATTTACGTTGTAGATGTCTATGGGCTCCAGTAACCACTTAACATCAGGTGGGCTGTGAGCTCGTCCATCCATCTAAGCAATAAAAAAAAACCTACATATATAAGTAAAATATATACATAGACATGATCAATCACGGAAATAATTCTCAGTATGAAATTTACCACCCTGCGTATTTCTGCCATGAAGCAGTAATGCGTTTATGCGTTATACTGAAACCTTGGAACTCATATCTCAAGGTGAGTGGCGGCATTTACGTTGTTGATGTCTATCGGCTCTGGTAACCACTTAACACCAGGTGGGCCGTTAGCTCATCCACAAAACTGAGGAATAAAAAAAAAATGTGTGGTGTCGTGGGACACCGGATAGGAACCCTTATTATAAAAATATTAATTTTAAGTTCTATTCGAAGTATAAAGATAATAAAACTGAAGGTTTCGCAACAACCCACGGTCATTCGGTAACGTGCGAACTTACTGTGGTACACTTCATTCGCGGTTGTTTGCATAAGAATTAGTGTATTGCGCAAACGAACGCTCTGAGATCGTGGTCAATGAATGATATAAAATATGTTATTTTTTGTACGTTATTACAAAGTTAAGTCGTACACTGTGTGCATTACTAATAAAAATCTTACGTTACGGACGTTTTTTCTCGGTTAGGGTACCCCTCCGCATTCGTCCCATAAAGAACTTCATTCCAAAAAAATAATAGAACGCGGTGAGGCTGGAGCGTGGCAGCACATCCGTATCGTTCGGTCTTCAGTCGAACAGTGAGGTTAAATCACCGAGTGACTCTTATGCCCCCGCTGGAATTAAACTGACATTGACATCTCGTATAGTGTTGCCAACCTCTATTTACAGAGGCGCCCAAGAAGGTTCGGTTTTGACTCGGTTTGAGATATTAAGTATCCAAACAAAAAAATTCGAGCCTCGGCCAAGGAGACAGAGGCGCTAATTATTGTACCCCCGATTCAGTCAATAAAGATGCTCGGCTACTAGCAAATAAGAATACGATTACAGAGCATTCCACTTCATTTATCTGAACCATACTGATCCGTTACTATAAAGGCAGTGTACACCTTTGGTCTTGACGAATTGCGTTTTGAAGAATAACCATTGTTCTAATGTAATTTTTGTTTTAGTCACAAGGTTCCGATTTGAAGGTGGTTTTCACTTGTTGTTTTTTTCGTGTTGCGTCGTGTATTTTTGGTAGCGATCCCAAGCAAGGTAGCAATATCTATGGAAGAAACTTTTTTTACCGGTTTATTTCAACCACTGTCCGTTAAAGGATTAATATCTTATAATGTATATCTAATTGAATTTTTATCTTTGTTCGTAGGTCAGCACGTGTGGGCAAGACCTCATTAGTAGCCCGGTTCCTAGGCACGAAATTCGAAGACAGCTACACGCCCACCATAGAAGACTTCCACCGCAAGCTATACCGGATCCGCGGAGAGGTCTATCAATTGGATCTGCTCGACACCTCTGGGAACCACCCCTTCCCTGCAATGAGGAGGCTTTCATTTCTAACAGGTCAGAATTTACAAATCACTAGGTATAACCAAGTTCAGTTTTTTTTTTATTGTTTAGATGGGTGGACGAGCTCACACCCCACCTGGTGTTAAGGGGTTACTGGAGCCCATAGACATCTACAACGTAAACGCGCCACCCACCTTGAAATATAAGTTCTAAGATCTCAGTATAGTTACCACGGCTGCCCCACCCTTTAGACCGAAACGCATTACTGGTTCACGGCAGAAATAAGCAGGGCGGTGGTACCTACCCGCGCGGACTCACAAGAGATCCTACCACCAGTAAGAGATTCGTGGCCTGATATATAAGAGTCCTGGTCTATTCGCGATCGATGCGAATATGATGAGGTAGTAATTGTTCATAAAGAATAGAAATACACAGAAAGCAATTGTTCTAAGAAACTGCGTACTTAATCAATTAAAAAGAGACTTCTACAATGGAAAAATAATATTAGTGTACCCAAGCCCCCAAAAAACATTTTTTTTTTCTATAAGCACTGATAGATTGTACCACATGTTTCTGCTGCGAAGTAGTCATACTTGTCAGCTCGGAGACCCGCACCACCCGTTTCACCAATCAATTGAGATTTCTACCTATTGTCTTGGTTCAATCATGTTGCGATGCTTAAGGGTTGTAGTAATCGGTTAAAATCACATGAAAATAGAGCTCGTTCGCCAATTTAGGGCAATAAAACAATATGTCGAAATCATTTTAATGAAATATCAGTCTATGGAACACGAAACCCATAAATGTTGCATAAAAATATTTAGGAAGAAATTGCATCCACAATTTTACATTCTCAAAACCATTATGAGTACTGATGGTAGGGTTTAAGGTTCTACAGATAGGCACTTACTATCTTCCTGCGCCATTCCGTCAGAAGCACCCGTCGCGGGCGGACGTGCTCATCGACCGTTCGATCGCCCGACTCGACTGTTCTGGTGAAACTGGAAAAGCTTTCGTGCCACCAGTATTCCCTCAATCATAAAAAAACCTTCCTGCGTAAATCTGCCACGAAGCCTTTTCGCCTTCTAGGTTCAAGGGCAGATTCATATTCTTTTCATAAATAAAAACTAGAACGCTTCGAAAACTACGTCCACACTCATATCTCAAGGTTGGTATAATGATACTTTAACGGGCGTGACGTCAGATGGGTTCCGATTCGCGCGCGTACCCAATTAAGTGCCTGAAATTTGAGAAACATTGGATCTTCATTTGTACCACAGTATTAGATGCTTGTTCACTGCTCGATGTCGGCTTTCAATAGCGCCACATCTCTTCCCGTGGATGTTGTAAAAAGCAGTCAGCTCTGAGCATTATACTCTGTGATAATCTACCAACATTTACTGGTGTTAGGATTCGGTTTGAAGGGTGGGGTAGCTGTAAATACCATTGAAACATTGACCTCGTGACTTAAGGTGGGTGGTGGAAAGGACATTCTCATATCAAACTGCTCCAGTGACATTTCACACGAGGAGGCCATGAGCTCGATCGCGTATCTATGCTGATACAATTTTATCAAGTTTAACAAATAATAAAATGTACATTTTAAATTAAATCAGCGGCCCGTGTAATGTGTATAATGACCCAATTACGTTTGTGGTTATGAATGTTGAACGACGAACGCAATTTGTGCATATATGGACATATTCATATGATAAAGTAAAATATTCAGCGTGTAAGGAGACTGCTCCTAAATTCCAAACGAAAACTAATATATAATTTTTTTTTTATTGCTTATTGCTTAGATGGGTGGACGAGCTCACAGCCCACCTGATGTTAAGTGGTTACTGGAGCCCATAGACATCTACAACGTAAATGCGCCACCCATCTTGAGATATAAGTTTTAAGATCTCAGTATAGTTACAACGGCTGCTCCACCCTTCAAACCGAAACGCATTACTGCTTCACGGCAGAAATAGGCAGGGCGGTGGTACCTACCCACGCGGACTCACAAGAGGTCCTACCACCAGTAATTACGCAAATTATAATTTTGCGGGTTTCATTTTTATTACACGATGTTGTTCCTTCATCGTGGAAGTCAATCGTGAACATTCGTTGAGTACGTAATTCATTAGAAAAATTGGTACCCGCCTGCGGGATTCGAACACCGGTGCATCGCTCAACACGAATGCAACCGGACGTCTTATCCCTTAGGCCACGACGACTTCAAATACGAGTCTATTTACAATATAATACATATGAGTATATTGCTAAGCTTAGCGTAAAGGCTATTGGATTGTGTACCAGTAACGAAAGCGAACAAAAGTTCAGAGTTCAATAACCTGTAGCCAGCCAACCACACCCGGCTGAGGTTCGTTTGAAATCATTGACCCAGCGAGTCAATTGATATTGTTATATTGCGTTACTCAAGAAGACAGTGTTGACTTAATGATAGACATATAGTTTCGTGGTCTCTAGCATAGTAACCTCATAGATACAATAGTTGATACACCTGTCGTTTCCACAAATATTTGTAGCTTAAATTTTAATATGAAATGCCAAAAAGTAGAATCAGAAAAACGATTTACAAAAAAAAAAGATTACATTTATAGCCATATAAAAGCAGTGAGAAAATTTAATATTACCAAAAGTTCAAAATTCAATTTATTATTGTGTTTGTTTTGTAAGGTATAATAAAGCTGTCGTCCACACGTTTACGATAACAAACAATAGAGGTTTTGCAAAACGAAACATACAATGAAACAAGCACGTAATTTTATTGCAACGTAAATATCACAGTTTTGTTTTACATATTAATTCAATCGAGATAAAATATAAATAAAGTTTTTTTTTAATTAGTTTCACACAACTGGATAAAATCTGCACACATAAACATTAAACTTATTTACATTAAATAATACATTATAGAATTCACCCTTTTGGGTGTGAACACATCTTGCGAGCGTTTTAATTATAAAAAAAAACATTAAAATCTTCTATTTAAGTGTGCGTTCAGATCATCGTGACAACAGATTCTAAATAAGATTTAACTACTAACAAGAACCGACAAGAAGATGTGCTTAGTTTTTTCCAAATACATTTTTTTTATTGCTTAGATGGGTGGACGAGCTCACAGCCCACCTGGTGTTAAGTGGTTACTGGAGCCCATGGACATCTACAACGTAAATGCGCCACCCACCTTGAAATATAAGTTCTAAGGTCTCAGTATAGTTACAACGGCTGCCCCTCAAACCGAAACGCATTACTGCTTCACGGCAGAAATAGGCAGGGCGGTGGTACACAAGAGGTCCTACCACCAGTAAAATACATATATTCTTATGTATATGACGTAGATATTTTACAGACTTTTTTTGTTTTTTTTTATTGCATAGATGGGAGGACGAGCTCACAGCCCACCTGGTGTTATGTGGAGCCCATAGACATCTACAACGTAAATGCCGCCACTCACCTTGAGACATAAGTTCTAAGGTCTCAATATAGTTACAAGATATTAGTACATTAAATATACAAATATGAACGGACTAGAAGATACAAGTCTGTATTACCGAACACTAACCAAATATTTGTTCGTACTGTTGCTATGTGGAATACAAATTAAGCTCTGTCAGTCGGCATCATTGCGCCATTTCGAGAAGGCGGCACGACATGAGAACCCTCTTGTCGTGGCCGCTGGAAACTACATACCCGATCCTGTAGACCGAATGGTAAACAGTCGACGTCGCCCAAAGCAGGTCATTACGGATCCTCCCGATCCATTAACGGTGCTTTTAGGCACCACAAGCACCGGTCACCGTCCACGTCGAACCCGTCGCAAGCGCCGAAGGGCTCGACGAGCGAATTAACCCATAGACACAGCCCACTGAGTTTCTCGTCGGATCTTCTCAGTGGGTCGCGTTTCCGATCCGGTGGTAGATTCTGCGAAGCACTACTCTTGCTAGGGTCAGTGTTAGCAAGACTCCGGTTTGAGCCCCGTGAGCTCACCTACACACGTTAGGGTGAAGCTGAAATAGCTCCTCAAGGCTATCAGCATAGGTAGGGATAAAAAACAAATTAAGCTGCGTACGATGCCTTCACTAGTTATTGTAGATACATTTAATTTAAAATTGTAAAATTTGTAGGAATAAAAATTATGGTCAAGCTAAAACGCAAGTCATTTTTTGTTCTGTAAGCCACACATAGACTTAACCAGTCTGCTTTTGATTGTAGTCTTTATAATGTTACTTTGTTTACTGTAAAACTTTAAATTTTTTTTGACTTACACGATCACACACGAACACGAACTCAGCAAATGTTCACGAATTACTTCCACGGTGAAGAAATAACATTGTGTGATCAAAATCAAACCCGCAATTTTAATTTGTGTAGGTAATTACTGTTCGTTGGATGTTTTGTGAGCCCGGTCTCATAGTTATCACCATCTTTGCTTATTTCTGACGTTAAGCAGTAATGCGTTTAGGTTTGAAGGGTAGGCGGTAGGCATGGTTTGAAGGTTTGAAACTGAGACTTAGAAATCATTTCTCAAGGTGCGTGACGGCATTTATGCTTACTATCCGGTTACCACCAGATGGATCGTGGGCTCATCCACTCATTTTTGCAATAAAAAATGCACCTTTGCGTGTACCAATATCTTTTAAAACGCGGCGAAGTGTGTCCAAGATTTTCGTATTATAAGCATTGTGAATAACTAACTCTCCTTTTGCAAGAAAAACAACCAAACAATTTCTTCAATATTCTTAATTTTTACCTTATTGTTTGAAACACATTTAATATCAAAAACTCTTTCATTATTTCCATTTCCTTTCCATCATATAAGATTTCCTTTCCATTTATTTCAATGGTAAAATACATTCTTGCCTGTTCATAACAGAAATGATTTAATCCAACTAAGATACACACACACGGTTGAGTAAACAATCCAACACACGTCCCGTCTAAACGTGTGCAGTTAATTTACAATTTACCTTGGCGGGGAAAATCAACTCCGAAACGTTATAACACTCTGGGCAAATTTTACGCTGTCTAACAATTTAGTTTGC